AACAGGAACTATTTCTAAGCACAGGATTGGTAGAAGCACTTGTCTACTACACCAGGCGAGACCTAATATGCAGACTGGGCAGAAATGCCCCAGAGACAATTCAGAATCAGCTCCATCGGCTCCAGCCGATCCAATATGGACTGTAAAACTCCGTTGTTGTGAATAAAAAATAAACCATAACAAGTACGCTAACTAATCTGGGTCTTTACTGGGGTAAAGACGACTATATTATGTCAATATCTGTTATTTTGCCTTTTTTGAAACATGTGAGCGAGGCTTGAATCTTATACGTGGAATAAACTTAATTTGAAGAATACATCTGACAGAAAAGTTTTTCATACAGAGCTTTCAATTGTGCAGCATTTGTCATGAGGTTTTTAAGCTCTAGTTTATTCTGGAAGAACATTGATCATTTTATGTTTCTCCCGCAATGTAATCTTCATTTGTGCAATAAAGCTTTTGAGCAAAATTGCAGACATCAAGGCTGTATCTTTGAGTTATTGTTGTTTGTGTGTGCTGGAGGGGAGGGGGATTTAGCAAAGATGCTCTATTGAACTGAGATCTGGTGACTGTGGAGCCCATTTGAGTCATGTTCAAGAAACAAATTTGAGGTGATTTGAGCTTCATGAGATGGTGCATCATCCTGCTGGAAGCAGCCATCAGTAGATGGGCACAGTGTGTTCATAAAGGAATGGACAAGGACATCAAGAAGTCAGAGTATAAAGTAAAAAATTAAAAGTAAGAAGTCTTTAAAACAAAAACAAATTATTGGTTGCTTTGAAGACCAAGAAGAGCATTTTTCTGCACTGCATCTCAGGCTTTTGCATCCATAGGTCAAAACATGGGAGTGTAAATTTATTTATTTATTTATGTATTTCAGTGGTGGAGACAAGCTTCCATAGTTTCATATGCGAGATTTTGCCACCCTGTCTGATTTCCATGCCACCCTAAGAAAGTTTCTCTCAATCCACCCCTGTTTAGGACTTTTAATTCAATTCAAGAAATGAATAGTTGGTTGATATGTTACTATAATAATTAGTAGTAGTAATACTGACTTTGGTTAAAACTATTTTTGTTTTACATTGGTACCCATGGTGAAAGTAATGTGATGTAACGCTATAATAATGATGGCTCTTAATAAATTTTAAAACTTCAGAATCTTCTGTTCAAGTCTTTTTAACCTCTTGTAATCTTTGTTGTTTAGCCCCAACTGTGTTATCTCACATCACATGACATCTAAAAATCAAAGGTCACTTTAGCCTTCAGTGTTTTACAACCCACCTAGTTTCCCACACACCTTATAAGTGGGATGAACCATCTAATCAAGCAACAATTTCAAATGTTTTTTAGTAATCGCATTGGATTTCATGTGCATAGTTTCTTTTGTAGTGTTGTGTAAACGTACCTGTGTTTTATTGGGGATTGTGAAGACGCTTAAAGAGGGTTAAATAAAGACTGACCAAAGTGTCATAAATTTATAAAGTGACTGGGCAGGGATCTTATCTTTGTTCCTCAAGTTCGTTATTGCCCCTATAAATACCAGATAAAGCCTGAAGTTGAGATTTACTAGAAAATGAGCTGAACATTGCAGTGCCACATAAATATTGAAGCATTATTTTTGACTTTTAGTTTCTGTTGAGATGCTCATATTTGAAAGCATCAGCTATATGGAGATAAGTTCAGCAAGAAGAAAAAGAAAAAAGCAGCATGTGGGGCGTCGCTCAGAGCAACTGTGACATGTTTTATATTGCACAATGATAATAACCTCCATGGGTAGCTGTTCCACTGTAAATCAAACTCTATTAGCGGGTACAAAGGACACAAGCTCAAGTTGGCATTTGATCTTTGATAAGATTTCATGTGTATGTGTACTTCTTCCCTATTTTCCTTTCCTTTTTAAATCTCTTCAGTCTTTTCCTGCATAATGTAATACAACCATAACAATGATCCACCTAAGTTAAATGTTTTTACGAAAAATAACACCAAAATAAAACCATCCATTAAGGATAAGTGATCCTTCCAGAATTTAAGAAACAAATAATCTTATAAATAAGCTTTACTCTTTAGTTATATAGCCCTTAGTTTAACTTTAACTATGAAATCTGCTCCAAATAAGGTATAACCATAGAAAAATAGAACATTTTCTACAAAGATATAACCAGGCTGAATTTTGGGGCAGCTTTTTTCAGGAACTCTTCTTTCTCTGCTTCACTTTCTTTGGTTTTAACTAACATACAATGAGGAATAGCAAAGGGTAATTTTAATAATGTTTTTGATGATCCAATAAAATGCCATCCAGAAGTCAAAATTTTGAAATAGTAACTCAAAACCTTGATTAAACTCTGCCTGGTAATTTTTTTTTCTTTTTTTCAGTGGTAGAAACAAGCTCACATGTTTTCTTGTGCTAGGCTCACAACTTAATAAAAACAAAATTAATCTCAAGTTTTGGTATTCATAGGTCAAGGGTTGGTGGTCAGTGTTGGAAAGAAGCTTCCATAATTTGGTATGCTAGGATCAAACTTTACTTGAAAAGAGATCCCCCCGGTTATAAGTACAAACACAAAATATATATATTTGAATTTCATTCATCTTTAGTATTGTAGCACCTAATTTAACCATAACTGTGATTTATCTTCATTCTGTATGGGTTTAATTATGATATATGCTGTAAATAAGGCATACGCATAGAAAAATACAAATAAAAATTCTGAAAATAAAAGGTTTGGGGCAATGTTTTCTGAATTTCTTCCTTCTCTTCACTTTCTTTGCTTTTAACTGCCAATAAATCCAAATGGTCCACAGTAATTTTAATTCTAAAAGAATCATTTTTCTCTGCACTTCATAGAGCACATATGTTTGTGATCAGCACCATGTTGGTCTGGACTGGCCTTTAAAATATCCATTAGATAACCCAGCTGGTAAAGTCATGGAAAATTGATTAGTAGATAAAAGGCTTGAAAAGTGGGCTTCCTGGTCATCGTCTCTGGGTGTGACCTGCACTTAGCACACTAAAGGAGGAGTGGCTGCTGATTAAAACTGCCAGTGGAGAACAATTGGCAGTTTTAAGCTCAAAGATTTAGAGAACTACAGACTCGGCCACTTCTGGCCTTCGCTAACTTTTTTCCACCCTGTGGTAAAGTTGTTTTTGATTCATCCAATGGCTCAAAAATTCATCCTCCTGTCTGTCATTTGGCTTGTTGTAGCCATTTTTGGTAAGTAGCCTGATTTTATTGCAACAACTTTAAAATACTTATTTTTGTCAGTTTGATAGTGTATGATAGAGTGACAGGGTAGAGCACATGTTAACAAATTAAAACATCAGATAAACTTTAGAGGTGAAATATTCATTTTAATATAGTTGTTTTTTTTTTAATTTATTTAATTAAGCTTTTAGTTTAATTCAGTCTAAACTGTTATGCACACAGGTGGAGCTTTAATAGGCTTTATGTAAATAGTAGATAAATGGATTATGTTATTTAAGAGTTTGCAGTCATTCCTGATCCAAGATTACAGCTGTAACAGCAAAATGGAGAGCTAGCCATGACGTAAGACTGCCTGGATAAATGTCCTCCAATCGAAATATCTCAAATTAGGTTGAATATGAGAATATCATTTGTGTTGTCTTCGTATTGCTTTGAATAATTACACAGTATCCACTTGTGTTTTGCGAGCGTCTGCTCCAAACATTTTTATTCTCTCATTTACAAATCAGTCTTCTTTTATAGAGGCATTCATGAGCCCTCTCAAATACAGCGCCCCCTACTGTTCGTAACTTTAAATGACGGAGAGAAAAAGAGCCTCAGTACTCAAGGACATGTTTCGCAACATGTACAACAGTAAAATAAATGAATCACTAATATGCCATGAAATGAACCCTGGACTGAAATTAACAGCATGACTTCATCTTCAAAATATCATGATCATCAGAACATCATAAATCACCGAATTATAAATAAAGATTACAATACATGCAATGGCAGCAGCTGCCCTGATTGTGACATCCATTATATTTTTATTACAACTAAATAATTTTTGACAGATGGTGGAAATAGTTTCATTTAAACAGAAGTGTAGATTTAGTACAAAGGATTCTGAAACACATCTTGTCAATTATATTCTTTCTGAAAACAAATCTATTTCTACTGTGAGTTTTATTCTAGATACATATCGACATAAAACAATGTGCTTGTCATGGCTGTGTTGTGTGGCAGGCAGGCAGGAAAAAGGACCCAAAATGCAGGACTCTCAAAACGGGACTGGAACTCAAAATGCAGCTTTATTGCTGGCAAAACCAAAGTAAAACTCAAAAAGCAAACAAAAGCTCACACAGGGCGCTAGAGGACTACCATGACAAACACACAGCATGTTGAGGTACAACACGCGAGAGAGCAAAGGCAAACACAGGGCTTGTATACACAGGGGAGTAATCAGGGAATGGGAAACAGGAGGGGGACACAGCTGGGAGAAATTAGGCTAACAAGACAGGGGAGAAGTAAAACTGAACACACTGACATCAGACATGAACATGAAACAGGAAACAAGAAACAATTTACTAAGACAAGGACTTGACAGAAAATATAACCCGTAATACAAAATCAGACCAGCACAACTCAAGATTCTGAACATAAATATAATGAACATAATCTAGAAAAACACCAAAATATAAGAAACAGAAAAAGCTGGGTCAAAATGACCCAGAACCGTGACAGTGCTAGAGTACAGGTAACAAACTTACTCTCAAATGTCTTCTCAATCACGCTACAGTCCTTACACTCTGTTAATGCTTTTTACAACTTGATCATCTGTGATTTCAGAACTGGCCTCGAAGATGATCTGTACTGATGCAATGACCTCTGAGCTTGCCTGACACACGAGTGGTTCTTGAACTGTAAAGACAGAAATCACATTTAGTGATGATTGCATCATTTATTTGTGCAGTATAATAACATGTTAATGTACATTGATGTGAAACAGGCTGAAAGATTTTATAGTAAAAGCTGTTGTCAGTCTGAGACTTACAGGAGTTTCAGCACTATAGATTTGGAGTAACCGTTCATCTCGTTATAAACTTCATCCAGCTGTGTTTTCAAAAGAAAATATGTTTTGCTCAGTATGACTATTAAGATTGATTAAATAACTGATGAAATTGTTTTTAGTATAACTTGTAATGTCAAGTATATTTTCAAAAAAGTCCATATAAGACACATTTATTGATAGAGAATACTACCTAATTACTTACCTCAGCAATGATTTCATTAGCAGTTTCTATAAATTCCTTTGATGTGGTGTCTGTCATTTCATCTTTAAATGGTTTTTTCACTTGAAGATTTCCAGGGAAGACTTTGGCTGAAAACAAGAAAATATCAGAAGAAAGCGAAAATCTAATTAAATTATATTTTATATCTCTCATTTTCTTGCTGAAAGGAGGGAGATTGATGCCAGTCTCATACAGTGTCTGTCTGTTAAATATCAAGCTACAACTAGCAGGTACTTAACTAAGGTTAAGACAGGAGGCTAGCTGGGTTAGTCCCAGACATAAACCCCAGAAAAAAAACAAAAAAACAAAATCCAATTTGTCATTCTTACACTTTATTTTTGCATGGATAAAGTAAACCAAATCTAAAATGTTAATATTAAAATGTATTTCACAGATTGCATTAAGTTGGCTAAGCCAGGCTAACAGTCAACATTACTCACTTACTGTTTATGTCCGACTAAACTGATTGGGAGATAGCTAGTTCAAGAGGTACATATTGTTTTGAATGACCTGTCCTTCAGTGATCTACAAATCTTCCTCCAGACCACGTAGTGTTATATGCTGCTATATAATCTTCATTCATGTCACTGTTAAAAAAAGTAAAATCTTCATAGCGGCACACAAACAAATACTTACAGCGTTCACAACTCTTTGAAACATAGTTGTAGGAATCACCAGTGAGGCACAAACATACATATTGTGTTATAACGGACCTCACAGGTGCTTCCGGTGCCACAGGGATTTGGTTGCAGGGATCTTAAAGTGAGAAAAAAACAAGTGCGAGCGCACA